CATTAGACCATGAGAAGGGAGAAAAATGCAAGAAGAGATTGAATAAATGTAGCTTGAAGTTTCCATAAGAATATTAGAAAGATTGAAAGAATATATATATATATATATATATGGATTAGTAGAAGGAGAAAAAAGATAAAAGTAGATAAAAATTCATACCTATATTTTCGGAGGATATGTATATGCTCAACAAAACAAATGGAGTTATGGATATCAAAATTAATCTTGTGAAAAAAACATCAACACACGGTATGAAATATTAAATTTAAAGGGCTGGTTATATGATGAATAATTCCAGCAATCTTTGGTTTTCTGCATTAAGTTTTAGCTTTTCATATTTGAAACGAAATTGAATATGTAACACCATCCCAATAGACCACAATATGCTTACACTCACGACCTTGTTCACATTCTAAGGTCATCATTAGGGAGCATGTGATTGTGATGGATAATATTTAAAGGCAGCTAAAGGAGTAGGAAGAATCATATATTTTGTTATGTACCCGTATTTTCATTGATCCTTTTAGTGTTGCTTTAACCTTGTCAAAATCAGAGTTAATGCAGCGGAGGAAATGATCAGAAGGGTTCCGTAAAGCTGGACATGGAAAGCCAGCTTGAGCAAAAAACTGCACATACACACCATTGCAGATATGTAAGGTTAAAGTTGATGATATGGGAAGCAAACAGAAGTGGAGAAAGAATTGTTGCCTCATATGCTTCGGAAGCTTGACCAAAGTAAACAGTTTTTCCACCAGAAAGTAAGTATAATCGGTCAAACAGCTCAAAAACTTCACTACTGGGCTGGTGAATAGAGGCTATCACTGTGCGTCCGTCTCTGGACAGCCCACGCAATGTCTGGGTCACAAAAAATGCTGATGCGCTGCAAAAAAAAAAAAAATTATTCAATCAATCATGAGTGATTATCTTATCTAAACAGTTGTGGATGGTGGTTTGGTGATCAGAGAGACATGATCTATTTGTACCTGTCTAGACCGCTGGTGGGCTCATCGAGAAAAAGTAACCTTGGCCTCATCAGGATCTCGACAGCAATGCTAACTCGTCTTCTTTCTCCACCACTGACACCACGCAAGTGCCAATTCCCGATGACTGTGTCCGCACAATCTTGAAGTCCCATCTCGATGATTGTGCTCTCGACCAGTGCCCGTTTGTCTACCCACGGCATTCTATCCGGAAGCCTGAGCCGGGCAGAGTATGATATTGTTTCACGAACCGTCAGGGTGCCGATCAAGTTGTCATCTTGCGTTACATAGGCCTGCATTCATTATATTAGTGATGATGCCGAACAAAGAGGAGGAAGAGGAGAAAGAACATAAAAAAAAAGAAAAAAAAAAAGTGAGCAGAATCTACTACTGACAGCTGTCCCAAACGATAAATTGGCCTTGCGGCCATTGAGCAGAATGGCGCCTGAAAGGAATGCATTGGCAGCAAGGCGTCCGGAAAGGGCATCGAGCAGCGTGGATTTTCCTGATCCGGAAGGGCCCATGAGCGCAGTAAACGATCCAGGCTCGGCATACCCACTCAGTCCCTCCAGAACATTCTGAGTGTCTCCATTGGTGAGAGTGACAGTTACCGTTAGATCTTTCCAAGCCAGCCTGGCCGACACGTCACCCACAAATTCAGTGTCGGTTCTCTCCTTCCACAGGCTTTCGCTCAAAGGGCTAAGCCCTCCAATAACAAGACCGTTGCCTTGTGGCTTGTGGGCTTCTATCTCCATCACTACTTCCTCTGTTGCAGCAGCTGCTGCTGCTGATGATGATGATGATGAGCTCTTCATTGGTCGGTCCGTCCGTCGATCTCCTCTTCTTGTTTTCTGTTTTAAATTTAAAAAAAAAAAATCAACCAAAAAGAAAAAGAAAAAATGTAATTAAACAAGCTCCAGCTGCATATATATATATATTTTGGTGGAGTGGAGAAGAAAGTAATGGATGATGATGGATGGAAGAAACGGCTAGCATATAATTAATTTATAGTAACAACAACTGGTCAAGAAAAACTAGGTAATTGGATTGGACAAAATGGTTTTTACATGAAAAACGCAAAAGTTGTGAGCTTAGACTGCTTGACTCTTGCTGATGAGATGAATATGGCGTGTTGTGGCCATCCCAATTAACCAAATTCACACGAAAAAAAATAGCAAAACAGCTTGCAAACTTAATGTATGTTGGACTTTTAGTGTCAAACAAGAAAGAAAATCAAATAGTGTGAAGAAGAAGAAGAAGAATGTGATGGACATTGTTATGTGCAAAAGCTAGGCCACCATTGTTAATGCGTACAGGTAGCTGTTGGTTGGGACATTTAATGCACACGTACCCACCCGCCCAATTATAAATAAGCAGTAGGAAGTTTAAAGTTAAAACACACACTGTAAAAAAATTGTTAGTCGTATTAGTACTATTAGTTTATTATATTACCTTCTCTTCACATCAATATACACACAGTCACAAATTAAAGGGTTCGAGGCCACCATGATTTAATAATTCGTTACAACCAACTCTCAAAAGAAGCACTGACTGACCTCTTGGCAACCCCATATCAGAGGGAAGAAAAAAGAACATTGTTTTGTGTTATTTCCCAAATATTTTTCATCACATAACTTAATTAATTAGTTTCTTCTTAAAATGTTTTAGTCGTGTATCCCAGAAGACTGAAGGAATTGTTGGGAAAAATTTCATTACAAAGTTCTAAAAGAATAATTGTATCAATACAAGGCTTGAATTTTATTATTTCTCCATAGAAAACTTGCATTTTAGATTATTCTCAATTTAAAACTTACTTATTAGTTAATATTTCATTATAAGACCCAATTAACTTTATTTTTTAACATAGATACTTGAACCAACTAATATGTATACAAAAATATTATTATTATTATTATTATTTCTTGTAATTTATATTTTACATACTTATAATAAGAAAAATAAATATTTTTAGCAAAATTACATTAATAAGAAAATGAAACTATAAACTACAATTATGCAAAAGTTTAATGGCAAAATTGTATTTTATGCCCCGTAACTAGGAGTGTGTGGCAAATGTGGACAACTTCTTTTTGGTTTGGCAAAAGTGCCCTGAAACTTGTTAAAACCCGAAATTCGTGCCCAATTTGGGCACAAATTTCAAATTTTAACAAGTTACTGTCCTGTTTTGTCACATGAAAAACCGGTCATATCCGGTAACTTGTAGGTAAATGGGCACGAATTCCGGGTTTTAACAAGTTTTGGGGCACTTTTGCCAAACAAAAAAGAAGTTGTCCACATTTGCCACACACGTATAGTTACAGGGCACAAAATGCAATTTTGCCAAGTTTAATAATGATTATTTTTTAAAATTGATAGTTTGAAAAATATAATAATATTTTAATAATATTGCCTTCATTTTAGCTTTTCAGGATTTGGACTTTTCTTTTTAGACGCAAAAAATAGTACATATTTAGTTTATTAATGAAAATAATATTTCCATTACATACTCTTAAATTCACTTATCAATTTTTCAAAATATTCATTATTAAACTATTGTATAAATATAATATATATTGTTTAATTTTTTTATTAAAGAAATTTACTAAAGATATTTATTATTTTTTTATTATAAGTATGTAAAATATAATTTACAAGAAAAAACAATAATAATATTTTTGTTCACATAATAGTTTGTTCACATATTTATGTCAAAAATAAAGTTAGTTGGGCCTTATAATGAAAAGTAACTAAAAAGTATGTCTTAAATTGAAAATATTCTTTTTTTTTCCCAAAACGGCAGAGATAACTATATATAAAACAACGAAACATCGTTCAATACAATCCAGACTCAAAACAAGAAACTAAAAAACTGAGAGACACACCCACGGTGGTCTAGACCTCAACTAATAGCCCAAAAGAAACAACTAAGGCCAAAATCCGAAGGAGAAACAATAAACACAAGAGAACCCTTCAACCACTGCTCAAAAGCCTATCCAAAGGAAACTCTCAAAACAAAAAGAACCAACTATACACCAAAGAAAGAAAAACAGCAACCACAACCAAACCAAATTAACTAGAAGCTGCAGAAAAGGCCATCCAGTCATAGTGAGCCAACTGAACTAGCACATGCTCAGGGATAAGGGATTTTTGAAAGATCCAGAGGTTTCTGGACTTCCAAAGCCACCAAAGCAGATAAGTGAAAAGTTGAATCCGAGCTTCAGCTACTTCAGACTTGTCCAGAGAACATACATGATACCACCAAGCTGAGAATGAATCAGTCTTATTGTTCAGCCCATCCCATTGAACAGGGCTCAGCTTCCAAAATCTTCTGGCTCTAGAACAGTTGAAAAGAAGGTGCTCAAGAGTTTCTTGGTCCTCCCCACATACAGCACAAGTTGAATCTAGATCCACTCCTCTTTTTTTAAGTTGGACAACAACTGAGAGGGTATTGTTAAGGCATTTCCACAGAAAAAACTTGAGTTTACCTGCCACCTTGAGCTTCCAGAATCTGAACTTAATGCTTTTGCTAATATTAGCAGCTAGACTGCACTCAGGAAAGTCAGCAAGCAAAAATTTTTTAGTGACTAGATGCTTATAAGTACTTGAAACTGTGAAATGACCCTTCTGCTCTAGACCTCAATACTTTGTATCTTCTCTGTCAGCATGAAGAGAGGCAATATTCAAGATTGCTTTATAGTCAGCTTCATTAAAAACCTGAGAGACCAGCCACTCATTCCACTGGTGTCCATTGGACTGCAATAAGTCCTTCACCCAAATCAGATGTCCTCTAGCAATAGGCAATAACTCAGGAGAAGGTTTGTTCAGATTTGGCACCCAGTTAAAATCTTCTATTCTGGTACTTAAACCATTCCTC